ATAAGTATAAAGAATTAAAGAATAAGCTAAAGAAAATAGAGAAAATTAAAATATTTCAAAATAAATCCAGTAGTAATATCAATAAATGGATTAGTAAATAAATCAAGTATCAGATTCATTAAAGAATTAAAAATTGAAGTTGACAACATTACAGAAATTAAAAACCTTGTAATAAAGAATGTAATTGATGTCATTGAATATTGATTCTAACACAACAAAACATACTCTGTAGAGCTGTTAGAAGAAGACTCATTGATGGGATTAGTATCAAATGAACAAAGAATAATAGAAATATCTCTGTTAATACTTAATTATTTACTTTTTAGTTAAATTAAAAATATTCAATGAAACGATAATTTTAACTTTGAAGAATTAAATTATACAGTAAATGATATTGAATAAATTGATGAGAATATTGGGTGTTGTAACAATGTCTAATTTGAAATTTGTTAGTTCTAGTTTTTTAAATAAACAAAAGAATTAAACAACAAACAGAATAAGAATATTTTGATGAACAAAGACTTCGTTTAAATTGAGACAACAATCTTTTCTGTTGTAGTGTTTGTTGAAATAATGAACAATAGTTAATAATATTTCTGATTCCTATACAATCAGTTGTACTATCTGGGCATTCAAATGAAGAAAGTTCAAAATCTATGAGAGTGGCTTTTACATTAAATGCATATCTTCTATTATGAGACATGTCAATCAATATGTTTGGCTCTCTCTTTAAAAGAATATTTTTAGAATGAATATCACCATGAGAATATCCAAAAGATTTTTCAGCAATACTTAAACTCCATAATAATTGAAAGATTACTTGAAGTAAGTCATTATAACTAAGTTCTTTTATTTGATAAATTGTTTTGCCAGAATTTTCTGATATAAAACCAATATATTTTCCTTTTTTAAGTAAAACAAATGAAGTATTATCTTCATTTGTTTGAGAACTTAGAATAACTTCTTGCTTTCTTTTTGTATCACTAACAAGTAGAATATCATTTTCATTAACAAATGAAACAGTTCTTAATAATGGAAGAAAACTAGTTGTTTGATTTTTTAATAATTTAGTGATTCTATTCCATTTTTCATATTCCGTAATGCCCTGTTGATTAAATAGTCTTATTTTAATAATTTGACTATTCAACATACATACAATTGAATGATTTCCAATACCAATTACTCTACCAATATTTTTGATAACATTGTCGTTAGAAATAATACTTGGCCATTGGTCTGCCATTTAACTTAATACTATCTATAAACAGATTATATCTTTTAAGTTAAGTTTTATTAAGTACATAAAACATCAAAGTTTGTTTCGATTTATAGAAACCAAAAAATATATAAAAAATTGGAAAAAAAAAGGAAAATGACAAAATCAAATTAATTAAAATTGAGATGCAGCAGCAGAAACAGCTACTTTGGTTCCTTGTTCAACAGCAACCTTCTTAACCTTCTTCTTAAGAATAGAACGAGATCCTCTAGCACATAAAGCAAAACCAACAAAATTCATTGACTGCATGACAAAACAAATAATAGCAAGTCCAAGATAATTGATTCTAATACCTAAGAAACATAAGAAACAGACAGCAACCCATAATAAGGGTGCAGCTATCATTGTCACCCAAAAAATCATCATTTCAATATAACTTAATCTTACTTTTTGATGATCTTCCATAGCTTCAAATATCCATTGAGAAGAACCATCCTCATTAACTTTATTCCACCACCTCAGTCCAACTAATAATCTGCCACTAATATTCTTAGTAATCCAAAAATCAACTGCAGTGAATAATAAACAAATAGAAAACGATATGACAAAATATCCGTCCATAAATATAAAGAATAATACATAAACAATAATTGCAATAAGTTTAAGACCAATATGTAATGATGCTATAATTGGATGACGACTTCCTTTTTCAATGACTTGGTTGTTTTCTGCAGTTCTTTCTTCTTGAGTTGTTTGAACTATTTTTGTGGCGTCCTGAAAATCCATTTACTTTGTATTTTTTTATTTGAGTTCCTTTAAAATTCCTATCTTTTTCATCTCATTTTTATTTGTCTAATTGTTTTTTTTTTATTTTTTGATTAAAACGAAGATATGATTTGTAAATGAAGTAATAATCTTTTTATGTACCAAGAAATACTTTCCATTTATATTTGTCTAGTTCATGTTTATAGACGTCATAACATAAAACTGCTTTTACTCCTTTTGTTGGTGGTTCATACAAAATATATGGTAAAACATAAACAAAAATTATATTATTTTTTAACAGAAACTAATAGTTTTTCATTAGAAACTTATGCAAAGAGATGATATTCTTTGCCAAATTTGTACATCAAATAAAGCAAAGTATAAATGTCCTAAATGTTTAACTCCATAGTTTGTTTATTTAAACCATTTTCTCATAGTCTGAGTCTCATTATTAGTTGTACTGTTTCTTGCTTCAAAAAACATAAAAGTCAATGTAAAGAAGAAATTAAAAAGTCTGAACCAATATTACCTAAACGAAAAGACAAGAAAACAAATTATTTGAGTGATACAATCAAAGAAAAAATACGTTTGTTTCTTATCTCTTCCTTGTAATTAATGATTCATCTTTTAGTTGAAGATAAAAGACTATTAGAAATATTACAAATACCACGTACTATTGAATTATTAAAAATTGTTCAAGAAGAAGGTGTTGATACATTAAAGAGTTTGATGTATGGAGAAACACCAGACGATATAATTTTTCAAAATTTTGCAATGAGACTTCTTCAAGCAGTAGGATTACGTGATTCACAAGGAGTTTGCATTTTATAATTTAATTTTGTTAAATATAACAATCTTTAAAGAGTAAAAAAAAGAAAAATTTAAAACTTCAAGCAATAAAATGAAAAAATTAAAAAATCAAAAACAAAGAGAAAAATTGAACTTTTAAATGATAAATAACATAATTGAATAAGGATGAATATGACTAATGACCCTTTACCAATTGCAACTTCTTATGTTAATGACAAAACTAAGTTTTTAAAAACAGGTACAACTATTTGTGGATTAGTTTGCGACAAAGGACAAACCGTTGTATTGGCGTGTGATTCACGTGCAACTGTTGGACCAATTGTAGCAGATAAGGCTTGCATGAAATTACATAAATTAGCACCAAATATTTATTGTGGTGGAGCAGGTACTGCCGCTGATTTAACTCATGCAACAAACTTCATTGCCACAAAACTTGGGGTTCATCGATTTACTATTGGACAAATGCCAAGAGTTGACACTGCGGTTACTATGCTTAAAAGACATTTGTTTCCTTATGGAGGACATATTGGTGCCTATCTTGTTGTTGGAGGATATGACTATACTGGAGCTCATCTTTGGGGGGTTTATGCCGACGGTTCAACTAGTCAACATAACTACTATTCACTTGGAAGTGGTAGTATTGCTGCAACAACAATGTTAGATGATCAATGGAATGAAAACTTAACGAGAGAAGAAGGTGTTAAATTAGCAACACAGGCTATCCTTGCAGGTATTTTTAATGATATGGGTTCTGGAGGAAGAGTCAATGTATGTGTAATAGATAAGAATGGAGTAGAAGAAAAATTAAATATTGAACATCCAAATGATAGAAAATTCAAGAATCCAGATTTCAAAGGATTTCCTAAGAAGCTTGAAATTCTCAAGAAAACAGTTATTCCTATTGAACATGAAGAAGAAGACTTTAAAGATCAGAAACAAATGGAGTTAGAATAATTTCACTTTTTTAATTACACAGCTCTTCTTTCATATTTATGACAAAATGATTTTACGAAACAATCTAAGACGTGGAGAAATTACCATAAAAAAAAGTGATAAGTTAACCAAAATTTGTTTTTTGGTTTTTTTTCTTCACCAAACCAAAAATTCTCAAATATAATAATAAAGAATTATTCAAAACAATAATTTTTTATAACTTTTGAACAGATTGTAATAAGAAGAGACAAAGAAACAATAACGAAAATAACAAGGAAGAGAAAAAACTATTTTTAGAGGTAGAAGTTCGTGAAGAACTTACAATTCAGATTGAGATGAGTTTTGCAGAGAATCTTATTGATGGACTTGATGTTGTTTATAAACATTCACAAAACAACACTAAGGCATTTGGAGATTTTAAAGACTTTTTAGTAAAAATGGCTAATGCCCGTAAGGATTATGCTAAAAGCATGCTTCGTATGGTTCAAGAATTTAGACAAAAACGAATTTGTGGTCAAACAACACTTTACTATGGTACTGTTAAAGATGCTTTAGAAACGTATTTAAATGCTCTTGAAGAAGATATAAACAAAGATACTGCTATTACTAATGTACTTTCTACTTCAGCAAAGGTATTTGAAAACGATATTAAAGAACTTGAAAAACAATCAAAGGGTTTAATTTCTGATGGAAACAAAATGACAAAGGCTATTGAATCCCAAAAAGATGTTTTGAAAAAGGAAAAAGAAAAATTCATTAAATTATATAAAGAAGCTGAAGCTGCTACTGCTGCAGTTGAAAAAGCTATGCAAGACCCTTCTACTAAAGTCAATAAAATGCAACAACTAACTTCTAAAAAAGAGACTGCTATTGAAAAAGCTAAAGAAGCTGATTCAAATTATCGTGCTTGTGTACAACTTACAAACGATAGAATTCATGATTATTATAATTCTCAACAACCAAATCTTCTTTCACAATTCCAAGCATTTGAAGAAACGTGCATTAATACATTAAAAGATTTATTAAATAAATTTGGATTAGCATATACCGCTCTTCCTGATGCTGCTAATAAATTTGTGGATTTCACCAGAAGTAAGTTTGATGCTATTGATGCTGATGCTGATATTAATACATTTGCTACTACAAAAGCAACAAATGGTCATATGCCTGATGACATTCCAATAGAAGATGCTAATGGAAATGTTTTATTTGAAGGTGCAAGTAACTCAATTCAGTCACATCCTACTCAAAATACACAATTTACTTCATCTGTAACTGAAACAACAACTATAACTAATGCCGAGGACAACTCCCAACCAGCCCAAGATGGACTAGAAAAATGTAACATTAATGTCAAAGCTTTATATGACTATACTGCAGAAGCAGAAAGTGAATTAACTATTACTGAGGGTGAGACATTAGTCATCACTGAGAAACACTCTTCTGGGTGGTGGTTTGCTACAAATAGTCAAGGGCAATCAGGATTTGTCCCTGAAAACTTTGTGGAAGTTATTTAAAACTAATAATACTGACTTTGAGAAATACTTGTTTTCATTTGTTTTTTTTTTTACTTCATATTGTTAATATTTTTTAAAAAATATTTTCTTAGTTTAATAATTCTAAATTTATAAGCTAGTTACTACTTAGGCTCAATATTAATTTAATAGAAGATATCTTTTTTCAATCAGGTCATTAATGTCAGTTGTTTACATTGAAAGGGCATAACCAAAATTAATAGATATGGTAAATTTCCATACTTGCTTGTAATAACACTAAAAAAAGATTAAATTATTGTTCTGTGTCAGAAACAAGTTATAAATAAATCAAGAAGATTATCCAAAAGATAGATAGAAGAAGAGAGTAATGA